CTTTCCCTAAACAACAAAAGAGAAGAAGCATTTATTATCGTTACTAGGACAGAAATTTAGCTATCAGGGCTAAGACAATGTCTTGATTTAATTTGTTTCTCTGCCTTTCTCTTTTGCTTCTTGAGTTAGGACTTTATTTCAACTACCAGGGACTTCAGAGTTGCAAACTGCCAAGCGTATACCACAAGTGTTGTGATAACTGATATTTCTCCTGCTGGAGTCATGTGATTGAGCTGGTAGTCTCAATTTTCATTTAAAAAATAGTAAATATCTGTTCATCAAGGTTTCAAAGAAAAGCTTGACAGCATGAACATTAAAGTTCAAATACCAGAAGACTAATAAAAGGACTCCAATTTTTGTTTTGTTTTTGTTTTTTGGTTTTTTTTAATATGTTTGGAGTTGGTAACAGAGGTCAGCATGATTAAGACCCAAGGCCCCTGGATAACTGTAAGCTTGGACAACTGTCAGGACTGGTCAAAAACTTCCCTTTGAAACTACTGGTCAATAGAAAGTGGCTCTTTGACTAAGCAATATTTTTCATAAACATCCATCTGCTTTCTACAGAAAATGTCAATTTGTGTAAAATTTTCAATTAAGAACTGAGGACCTTCAGCTATACTCTTTTAAAACTTTGTATCTTAAATTTTCTTTGGAATTACATTAAGGAAACTAATGCAGTTGAAGATTTACAGCGTTGTTATTCTGAAGCACATGAGATGAGATAAGAGGTTGAGGGAACCTTTCGGTATTCATCATCCAAAGGGAAGGAAAGGGAAGTGCAGCCCCTGGGGCAGGATTACCAAGGCACATAGTGAGGCACAGTGGCAGACACTTGGAACAGAACTGGGGTGTTCCTGGTTCTTAGCCCCATGTTCAGAGATCTAGACAAAGATACCTTCACACCTTAGCAGCTTTACTTCTCATCTCCCTCCATATACCAGACCTGTAATTTGAAAAAATCCAAATGGTTTAATCACCTGGGATAATATATCTCAGGTTTTATGATGAAACCAGTGGATGCTGGGAAAGGACTTTAGGTGTTCAGTAAGTAGAGAACATATATTTGTACTCTACAGATGTGCTTTGTAGATCTATATCTCAACCACCAAGTTCCTGTGCTTTGATTTAAGGGAGTTCCTTGTCACCTGCAACACATCACTAAATATTCATTCCTGCATCTTCAATCTCTCTCTTTAATTTATAGTCATTTATTTGGTGCTTACAGTGCTGTCTCGGCCTCTCATCTTCAACATTGCTACGAGACAGGGAAGTATTAGATCAAATGTAGCAATGAGTGGCTGGGAGAGCATGATAAGCATACTGAGGATCACAAAAATATTCTGTGGCAGAGCCAGAAATTGAGCCTAAGCCTCCTGTTGCCCAGTCGGGTGGCTTAGTTGAAAACTACCCCTCCTTCTTAGGTCCCATCTACACACAAAGTCTGCAACTAGTTACAGCATAATCCATTGTAAATACAGTTTCTGCTAGTAAATGAGATTGCTAATACCCAGACAAAGTTATTTGGGTAAATCCAATATCCCTTTTTACACCAACTAAAGTAGTTTGAAAAATTCTTCTTTGCAAGCTTTTGGATGCAAATATCCTCCTTCAGGCAGAGGAAGCATCTGCAGTTGTTCTGTGCTCTTCCTGGATTGCTAATACTCAGCTCTCATGGCTTTTCTAGCTTTATCCATGGTTGTCTTCATATAACTGGCCTGCATTATTGCACCCCCATCCTTCAGCTAAACCAAATTGTGTATGCAACAGGCCTGACCTTCCTCTCAGCTGTGTGTGTGTGTGGCAGGGTATTCAAGAGTCTACTCCTTCACACACTGCTGCTAGTCCACTGTTCTCTCATACAGACACAACAGGAGACCTGCGACTGTTTTCTCAGACTGCTCTAGTACATGCATGGGCAGTCATTAGGTAGATGGGAATACATAATCAGTTTTAATATATAACTGTGCTGTGAATAAAGCTCAATGTACTTGTAAATAGGGCAGATATGAGTGCCATTAATTGGTTATTAAGACTCAATTCCAGTTTTCGTTTTAGGTGAGGCCTTGGCTACAGTGCTCTTACCTGTCTTTGTTGCACTATAAATGTTTTCAATAGGGAAGACTGTGCCTAGTCCATACAGGAGTACTTTAGCAAGAGCTGGTATGAGCTGGGTTGTGGTGACCAACACATTTACACAATTAGGCCTAGAAAACAAAACAGTTAGTTGGAATCATAGTTAGACAATCTGTGTCCTGCTCTCCACTGATGGTCTTGATTTCCAAAGAGATTGTTGATGTAGTTAAAGGCACATGTGGATTCTCTGCCATAATCTATTTATGAATTTATGAGAAATGAAATCATATAAAGCAAACCAGTGACAAAGACAGACTTGCTAAGGTTTTCACATACGCCAGTCACCCAGGACTTTAAATGGTGGCAAATGTCCAACATAATTTACAAAGGTTCCTTGGATGAACTAACTCATTCCTAGAACTGCCTTTTTGTCCCTTTGAAATTCTCCTCCAAATGTGTTTACTACCTGCCTGGGATGCCACCAATGAGGTATTTAGTAGTCAGCCAGGAAAAATAGATTATTTTTTTCTTTTGTTTGTTCCTTTGAATCATATCAAGTCCACCCCAACTTTTGATAATAGAAGTCATGTGCAGACTGGCCTCCCTCAAGTTTGGCCCACAAAGGCCCATAAATGTGCCTCAATTTGTTTAGACAAGAGGAAGGGAAGCAAAGGAGCTCTTGGAACAAGCCTGTAGGCAATTTCTTAAGCTGTTCTTACCGGGAATGTATCAAATTCAGAGCCTTCAGAGCGTGTGTGAGCCAAAGATCAGTCAGCGCTTCCAGCTCTGCTCTTAACTGCAGCCAGGTTTCCCTCTTAGGAGTGCCTATTAAACCTGCAAGCAGGGAAAGCAACATCTTTTTGTAGCTGCATAGAAAGGAACTCATGTGGCTTTGGATCTATTACACTAAAGGGCCTCCTGCTCTCTCCTGCGTAGGCTTGAATCTTATATTGCCAGCTCTCCCTCTTCCACTCTGGGTGGAAGTTCTTTCTAATCCTCCCCGGTACAGTGTCCCCCAAGGCTCTTGCTTTGAGTCCTCTTCCCTCCTCCAGGACCTGCCGGTAGTTTCACCTATGGACATTATTCTGAAGAGGATGATGCCCAGGCTGTTTATTAATGCCTCACAGTACTATTCATGCTTCATACTACTATTCATCTACTTCGTTCTCATCCAGTTCTCCCCAGTTTTGAGGGAACTCATTGGTTATTTGCAGTGCATATGACTGAATTAGAAGAGGGGTGCTCAATTCCCAGCCCACAGGCCAGAGCCACGTAATCCAGCCCCGGATCTCCCCACAGGTCTGGAAATTTGTCAGTGG